TCCCGTACCGTGGTCCAGGCCCTGCTTGAGTTTTCTCTTCCTCCACCTCCTAAAGAAACCCGTGACCTTGTGACAGTGGCATCACCCAGTAGGAAAGCCCACGGGAACTTCATGTGTGCAGCCCCAACTCGGCCTCCTTCCCGTCTCCACCTGGAGCTGAGGCATTTTGGCATGGCAGGGGACAGAGCCGTGTGTGACGGTGACACTTAGCATCATGCTGGCTCTGGATGCGTCACTCCCACTCGCTGCTTGTGCTGAGTGCTCAGGAGTTTCTCAAGAAGCACTTTCTTTTGCTTCCGTGCTGCACTGCGAGCTGTGCACTGACAGGAACAGCCTGGACCTGGCTTTCTGTGTTTAGCTTTGGCATAAATACTGCCATTGGGTCTGGTATCCTGTGCTGCGAATCACTAGATCCTCTTTGAGCTGTGGTCTCGAGAAATGGGTCCACATATCTTTCTATTCTTACATATAGAAGACACCCCTGATGGAAGAATTCCTGGGGAGAGTTTTTGACATTAACGTTACAAGTGGAACTGAAGCAGGCATTATTTAAAGTGCTTGGAGCAGGAGTCTCTGAAGGGAGAGGATGGCTGTGAGCATGGATGATGACGTTCCCCTTATCCTCACCCTGGATGACAGTGGAAGCAGCGTCTCAGCCCCCCTCAATGATGTGGACCGGGAGGAGCTGCCTAATGAAAGTAAGATCACTTTACTGTTGTTTCCTGCCCGCTTCTTTCCCTCTTTGTGGTGTCTGCTCTTTCTAGTGGTTGCCAGGACCTGAACCTCTCAGAGCTGTCACTTGGCGTCCCGGCCGCCTGCCTGGAAAAACCGATCAGGAAGTTGCTTATTGTGTTGCTTGTTTACTCCCAGCACTGAGTTGCACCGAGGGGAAGGACAGGACCTTCAGTGCTGTTTCTAACACACATTTTTGTGGTTTCCATGTAATAACCTGTGACCTCATTGTCCTTAAGCTCAGATCTCCTTTCCTGCACGCTGGCAGCTCCTTTTCTCAGCACTGGACACTGTGCTGCACCTCTGGCCTGAGCTGGCAGAGGTAGCAGCTCTGATTATGTTATGTAGGATTTTCCTGTTCCTTTGCAACTCTTGTTTTGCCTATTTCTAGTTTACGTTCTGATTTTTGCAGTCAGGAAAGTGATACGTGGTGCTAAATCACTTTAACGTCTTTAGTGTGCTCTGATCAAAGAAGCTGGAGTACTTTTAGACAATACACTTGTGTTAGCCCCAAAGTACTCAGTGGGACAGAGCCAGGCTGTGCATGTCAGGAGGGGAGGAAACAAAAGCCAATCTCTTGGAAGCATTGCTTTCTCCTCAGTGTATCTTTGTCAAAGCCATGGCCCTGCACTGGGTGAGATGCGAACAGCAAATGTGGTTGTGCACGTTCAGTGAGTTTCTGGTTTATGTTGTACCTCACTGAATGTATTTGAGCAGTTTGGTTCAACACATCCTCTGACTTCCAGTCTACATTGCAGGTGTGTACACAGGTCTTGTGAGCCTATTCAAGCCCTTGCTGCCATAAGCTTAACATTTGTAACAAATAATTAATTTTCTGGCTTGGCATCCCTTTTTCCTACATTATACCTCTATTCCACAGTGCCTCCATGATTCTGTGGTGTGACTTCTCTATCACAATCATGTGGCTTCCCTCAGTTTTCCCCTTCGACTTCCTGAGCCAGTGGCTAGTTCCTGACAATCAAGATTCCTTCTCCCTCCTCCTCCTCCTCTCCCACCTCTGCAATAAACATTCCTGACTAAACTGCCTAGTGACTTTCTCTAAGCTCTGCTGCATCTTTGCACCACTACAGCTCTTTGTCTTTTAAGGTTTAGCTCTCTGTTTTAAAGTTAAATAGAAGAGAGAGTGCTTCCTCACTCCACTCTCGTGTATTTATAGGCTTTCTTGTGAGTAATTTTAATCCCTCTTCTCTCATCTTTTTCTTCCACCCACCTCCCATCACTTTAACCCAGTGATAAACCTCACACAACTTCTTTGAAGCCACCATGACCGTGTTAAAGCACAAGTGTGAGAATGAGCATATTAATAAATAAAACTATTCCAGTCTGCTTGCCTTGAAATACAGGGAAACTGTTTAGGAACCAATTCTGTGCTGCTTAAAAGATTGCTGTGTGGTTTTTGAGAATTCATTTCCTGGAATTCTTTGCATTGAAGGGTCTCTTGGCATTGAAGAAATTTTGCTATGTGTTTTAATCGCTGTTAAAGTTGAATTTGCTGTGAAATTACAAAGCTTATTCTGTGCAAGGGATACTGGATGATACAGAGCACTGTGAAGTCAGGGAGCACTGGGAGGGTGGGATGAAAGATTAGAAGGGAAAGGCTGGAGAAACAACCTAAAGGCTTTATTTATCTCTGAGAAGCGGGAAGCTTGAATTAGTGAGCGAACAGGCTGATGCCATTGCTTGCAAAGTAAGCTTGTTTAGAAAGCAGAATGTGTGGTCCAGCTTTCCTCTTTGCCTGCAAAGGAAATCCACTGTGAAATGCTCAAGGGCTGTGTCTCGTGGAGGCTGTGAGCGATTCAAATGTTTCCCTTCTGTTCTGCCTCCACTCCTCTGCTGAGGCCTGAAATGGCATTAACAGAACTGTGTGATTTCACGTTTTTATTCAGCTGGTCTTTTTCAGGGATGTGAGAAGCCCTCTTCAGGAGAGGGAGTGCTGCCAGGGTGACGATGAGGGCATGGGACAGGGCAGCTCAGAAGGCTGGTTCCTTCTGGTTCTGTGTTCCTTGTGCCTAAGCTCTCATGATTCAGCCAGCATTTGGAGGAATAGCTCACTTATTACTGTGCCCAACCATCAACTCTTAGGGATGTGGTGGCAGGTTAAACACAAAGCTGTTATCTAAGCCTCTCCCCAGATACCAGCTGGGACTGTTTGCACCAGCCTTTTCCCAGGTGACACCGAGGGAAAGACAAAGTGAAGTGGGTGTAAAGGTGTGAACTTGTGTTAAATCACACACCCAGGGCTGATAATAATCAAGCCATTTTGTGTTGCTGTGTCAATGAACCTCTCTAAATATTAATCCGTATTCCAGCCTGAGTACTACATATCTGTGTGATTTCAGTGTCTCAATTCTCATGGTTTTTAAGGAACTTTTTGTGCTTTAAAAGTCAAACAAACAACTTGATCCATGATGTGGCTTTGTTGCAATCAGGTCCTTGGATAAAAGAATTTATAGTTTTGGACTCCTGGTGTTGATTGTCAATGCAGACAAGTTGAAATAAGTAATAACAGGGCTTTTTGAAAACAAGTCTGTTGCTGATGTCAAAAGAAAGGACAGAAGTGCAAGACTGAACCTTGCAGAAGAGTCCTCTTCTGGGTAAGTGAATGTCTTGAGGTTAGAATAGATGAAAACTAAAAGAGAAAACTGTGTGGAAAAGTGTATTCTTAAAGAAAATGTTCACCTGCAAAAATTAACAAGCACTTAATGGGAGAAAATCCTTGCATGGGGAGGAGTATTAAGGCTCTACCTGCCTTGGTTTGTGCTGGAGACACCTCTTCCAGGGAGCTCCCATTTACAGCCACAGCAGAAGGTCAGAATCCTGCAAAGGTGATGGGAATTCAGACCACATCCAGAAAAACAAGGTCCTTGTGGTGCTGATGGTTTTCTGACTACAACATACAGGACTCTGGTGCTGGGTAGTTTTCGTTTCAAGCTCCAGCAGCTGAAGGGGACAGAGGGAAGTGCTTTTGTCACTTGAATCCATGCTAATGATGCTGCCCTTCCCTATTCCATCTTATCTGAAAATCTCCAAATGATGCACATGCTCTAATTAAGCTTCCCAGCCCCTCTCCAAGGTGAATGACTAACAGTAACTGCATTTCTGTAGAAGGCAAACCCAGGGGATGCAATCCTTGTGTGACTTTTCCCAAAATAATGTGCTGAAACCAAGCAAGAAGCAGCCAGGGTTTAGTGACTCCCATCCCTCGCCCACACTCCTGGGAAGCATTCAGATGGGCTTCTCAACAGATCTCCAATGTTTTCCCTAGACAAAGGCAGCATGGATAGCCTTGAAACTCTAGGACAGTGTCTCTCCTTGAGCTGATGGGAACTATAAGCAATAAATGAGTGCACATTGATTTAGCCTGTATTAGATCAGATACAAGATCCTCCTTTGCCTCCCGCATGGAAATTGCTGTAGCCTCAAGTGGAGTTTCAGTGTGTTCAGAGCAGAAAGTACAGCTCAAAGTGTCATACAGGGAACAATACAATATTGTCTGTTTCTCCCACACTATGGATTATGGCAAGTGGAAGAAGTCATCTTTAAACTCTGGGTTTTTACAAGAAAGCAGCTGCATCTGCTGTTGAGGTAAAAATGAATTATTGGACATGGGAGTGGGGGGAGGAACTGCAACAGCCAAGTGAGATGTTTTCTAGAAGGATTGTTGGAACATGGGAAGTTAAAACTTTGAAGGCTGAAGTTTCAGCTGAGCCTTTGTGATCTCAGTGTCTGCTGCCTGAGGAGTGAGTTGTGAGGAGGACTAGAGCCAGCCTGGCCTTTTGGGTAGAAGAAGCATTGTTGATGTGCCTGTGCATTGCTGTGGTGGAGCAGGATGCCCAAAGTTATGGGTGAGGAATATGGCTGTGGGTAAGGAAAGCAGTGACTGCCCTGGAGGCTGTGGGTTGTGCCTGTGGAACAGTGCGTAGTGTGTGCTTTACTCTTGGAGCTGCTGAAGGAGGCCTCCCCCTCGCCTTGCTTCTGCACCTCAGCCCCGTCCTGTGATGGGATGTGTGAAGAGGCTTTCAGCAAAGCTGTTCTTTGTGGAGCTGGCTGATGGAAACTCGTGTTTCTGGACACAGAGTCTAATTACAGCATTAATGGATGCTCTGTACAACAAACAATTCATTTTCCAATCCACGGGTAGACACTTGTTCTTGGATTTGGGGCAGTTAATGTTCTTTTGAGACAGGGATATTTCGATGTGTTCAGTGACCAACGCAACCTGAAGTGATGTAATACTCTTCTGTGTTGGATCACGTTCCAGAAGATGTTTGTATCAGCAGTGAGGGAAAATTAAGTCTGTCCCTGTAAGTTGCAGCTTATCTGGGCAATGAGCCCCTGCTCTACAAACATCTCTGTTGCCTTCTCCCACTGCTTCCTGTAGTGTCATCCGAGGATGGAAGAGATTTCCAGGTGTAAAACAAGTGTCTGTTTTCTGATGGACTGAGGGAACACAGGATAAATACCTGACCTTGGGGAGATGCTGCAACCACACAAGCTCAGTAGCTGTGCTTGAGGAACCACTTTAGTTGCTGTGAAAGCATCCTGGCTTTGCTACCTTTGAAGGAAAAGAGGCATTTTAAATGTCAGCCATCTAGTAGATTTAATGAATCCTTTAGGATTTTGTGTGAAAGTAAGGATTTCAAAGCTTGTGTGGACTTGGGCTCTGCTTAAGAAATGCTGCAGGTAATTGGTGTGAAGAAATAGGGATGAGGGAACAAGTGAAGGCTTGCAATGGACCTGGCAGATCCTGGGATCTCTGACAGCTGGGCTCTACAACAGCCTCTTGTGTTATCTGGCTTTCCTGGATGCTAGGCAGGATGTTTTCCCACCTCATGGCTCCTAGCTCGACTGATTTGCCTTTCATTAGCACCAGTAGCAGTGCTTCCATTGCTGCCTGTAGGGGTGAAGCATGGCTAGAGCACAGGACTGGGATCCCAGTTTTGGA